AAAGCTTAAAAAATGTTGTAGATCGACAGATCTATGAAAACTTGAAAATCTTAAAAATTGACAGTCAAAAAATGCATTACAAAATACATTATTTTTCCAAAACTTGAAATCAATTTTTTTTCTCATGTCCATGCATCTTGATATCGAGATGATCAATATGAGGATTTTTGGGCATCAAAACAATCTCGTCTAGTGCAATTTTTTACGGAGGCTCGAATGTGACTGTTTAGAGCCTCGGCTATATAAACTTTTCCCTTTAAAAAATCTAGATTTTAAGCTCCCATGGTATTGCAATGTAGATTTTCATTATTTTACTAAAAATATATTAATTTCTAGTGTTTGCTTATCATTACATGGATTTCATAATCAAACTAAAGTTTAAACATTTTCAGTAAAATGGATCTCTCTAACTCAAATTTTTATTTTTATATTTTTATAATCTCTAGTACCACATATGCTTGTAAAGATAGGAGGTCTTGCCTACTCATATCTTCTGTTTTCTTTTTTAAAAAAAAATTAATTTATTGAATTAATTATTTATTTTATTTATAATTTTTGTTAAGTTTTTTATCTATGTAGAGGTGTTGTATTTAATTTAGGAAAAATTACATAAATTTATGTTATATTTTTCATTATGCTGAAAATACCTGAAATTTTTTGTTTTAAACAAATGCCCATTTTTTCAACTCCATAACATTTTTTTTAAAAAAAAAAAAGATAAAACTACCCATTTTTCGATTTTGGAAAAACTGACATTTTTTTAGTTTTGGTTTTTGAGAAACCGTTTTTTTTTTTGTTTTGAATCTCGCTATATACCCTTCCCCCCTATTAAAATTGGCCAAACGAATATTGTTGAGCTTAATTTTTTCCCTCTTCTTTTTATTTCGAGAGCGCAACAAAGAGAGAGCTACAGATATTTACTTCGAGTTTTCATGGCGTTTGGGAGTTTTGGTGCAAACTCAATTCCCCTTGGTCCATCTCGAGGTAACATTCTTGGCCACTCATCTCGTGAAAACCAGAGGTATGATTATTCTCACAAAAAAAATTTCCCCTTTTTTCCTCATTTTTATGGGTTTTTCATGGTGCTCTGGTTTTGATTTCTAAAAGTTATTTTTCTTTTAATAGGCAAGGGCATTAGTTGATGGATTGGTCAATGGGACACTACTCCAACTCCCAGCCAAGCTGAAGCTCCAACGCCAGGTAGTGGGTAGGTGAAATGGATGGGATGCTACACCAACACTATGAAGGTTGGCTGATTTCGATGCTACACCTGTTGGTGGTGTCATGCCTGTCAAACACACAAAGAGGTAGAGGAAAAACTTGTATCTATTGACTATTATTAGCATGTATATTTAATACAACCAGAGATAACATGCACAATAAGATAAACTACAATGAGTAACTTCATATGAATAGTGGTTTAAAAAACGGATTGGTGAATCGGCATTTTGGATCAGGAATCGGCCAATCGGTCGGATTCAACCTTAAAAAAATTCAAAAAAATATTAAAAATCATTACAAATATTGTTTTTTAGGAATCCAATAAGAAATGAGAGTACTACATTAATAACTTCTATTTTTTTGTATCAATATAAGAATATGGAGATGTTCTTTCTTTGTATGAAGATTCAAAAACCAAGGGTATGACCATTACAAATAAATAACTTTAATGTTTAATAATTAGTGTTGATAGAAATATGGAATTTAGTAACATAAATTTGCAATCATATTTTAATAAATTAAGAAAATAAATAATGAAATTCATATTTGCACTGTAAGACAATTGATAAAGAAACTTGAAATAAATTCCCATATCGAATAGTCTCACATCGAAGTTATGTGCACGCTACAAGACAAGGTTGTTGTTTTAAACCTCCAGTTGCCTTAGGGACAGTGAATAGTCCCACATCAAAGAGTTTTAGAAGGCAAAGTCAATATAAAAGGGCTTTAATATGGCTAAAGGGAAAAAGCCTGACACGTGTGAGGCAACGTGTTGCCATGATGGGGCAGGCTCGCAGTGGGATTGGGGGTTACCCACATGGTATTGCGTGCTTTACTTGAAGATTTTTCAACTAAAAAAAAAAGTCAAATCTATAAAGTTGGTGTACCCACGTGGTGTGGCGAATCTCAGCAAAAAAACGGCCAAATCCCATTTTATGGACGGATCCAGAATGGGTTGGCCGATACCCGATTCGGATCGCCCGATTCTGGATTGGATCACCGATTTTTTAAACACTGCTATGAAATATACACTTTCCACATAAGAACAAATAAATGCATGATCTTCAATATCTACACTCCCTCTCAATCTGTGGTTGGTTGAACAACATCAGTTTGTCAATGAGACAATCATAATGAGCATGAGTCATTGCCTTGGTAAAAATATCTGCAAGTTATTGTTATGAGGCAATATGTGGGAGTGTAACTTCTCCAGCCAGGAATTTTTCACAAATAAAATGATAATTAACTTCTATATGCTTTGTGTGGTCGTGGAACATTGGATTGGAGGCAATGCGTATGATATTTATATTATCAACATACAATGGCATAGAAGATCGATGAAGAATATTGAGGTCATGTAAAAGTCCTCTCAACCAAGTAATTTCACTACAAGCTGAGGACATTGTTCAGTATTCGGCTTTTGCAGAAAATTTAAGCACAGTTTGTTGTTTCTTACATTTTTATGATATGAGAGAGTCTCCAAGAAATATACACCATCTAGTGGTCGAGCATCGAGTATTTGAGCAACATGCCAAATCTACATCAGCATAAACTTGTAATTGGAGAGAAGATGTATAGGAGAATAATAGGCATATATAGCATGTACCATATAAATAACGAATGATACGATGGACAGAGGTGGATGCAACGTGGTTCATCAATAAATTGATTGATGACATGTACTGCATGAGATATAGCAGAACATGTCATGGTGAGATAAACTGCCAACCAGTTGTCTATAAAGAGTAAGATCTGGAAGTCTGTCCCCATCATCCTTCTTATAATTTATCATCAAATAAGTTGGTCAGTTTGATCAAATCATTGGTGCACTTCTTTTTGTTAATTATTTATTCATTGGGATAATAATGAATCTCCAAGCCAAGAAAGTAAGTCAACTGACCCAAATCTTTCAATTTGAATGAGTGATTAAGAAGCTCTTTCAAGTATTGTAAATTGCCAAGTTGTCTCCTATAATGATAATATCATTAATATATAAGAGAAAAAATGTTATCCTTAAATAACAATGGTGGGTAAATAATGAATAGTCATGGGCACTTTGTTTCAACCCAATATTCACAATGGCCTGTCGAAACTGTTTAAATTATGTTCTTGGAGCTTCTTTTAAACCATACAAGGATTATTTCTAATGACATACCATAGACTTGTCATGGTAGTACCCAGGAGGAGGTCTTATATATACTCTCTCTTTTAAATGCCTATTACATCCATCTGAGAGATAGTCCACTGACGAATAGCTGAGAGGGCAATTACTATACGAAACAGTAGTCATTTTAGCAAATGAGCAAATGTTTCATCATAGTTTATGTCATATTCATGTTTGTAATATTGAGCAACTAGTCGTGCTTTATATTGTTTAATCCCTCCATCAGATTTAAGCTTCACAGAAAAAACTCATTTACGTCCAATAATAAATGTGTGAGGAGGGCACAGTACAAGATCTCAAGTGTTATTTTTCAACAAAGCCTTTATTTCTGCATTCATGACCTCTTTTTAGCATGATATAGTCAATGCTTGCGGGTAGGTGGAAGGAATATCAACTGAATTTAAATGGGCAAACAATGATTTAGGAAGTAAACAAAGATCTAAGTATTTAAAAAGAATATCAACAACATCAAGAGAAATAAACAAAGCTCTCTGTTGTAGTGAAAAGTCAAAATCATCAAGGGAAAAGCCATATCAGTCAGGGGGGTGAGTTACACGTGAAGAATGTCGTAACTGGATAAAGTTATTAAAAGAAAC